TTTTGAGAGTACTTTTAACACACAATAGTTCAGCAATCACTAAAGATCCTACAAACACAGCAAATTGGTAGGTCTGTGGGAAAAGGGAAGGACAAGATGAGGAAATACCAGCACTGGCAGTAGCAAAGGATCCTCTGCTAGCAACAGGCATTAGACTTCAACTCTATGACATGAATAAACATTTCTGACAGTCTGCATGCAACTGCTCCCAAAGCTTTCTGAAGGGTAAACTTCTGGAGAGGAGGAAGGATGCCAACTAGACTCCCTCCAGTCCCTTTCTGCATATATGTTCTATTTAGCATATTTTTCCACTTCATACATGCATTTGAGAGAAATGATCAGGGTCTCTATTTAACTTCTCCATTACTTTTTTAGGTGAAAGTGTAATACTGGGGCAAATAATAAAACTGATCAGAGCCACAGAACTGGAGAATGATGTCACTTCTTGATCCTGCTTCTTTCTGATCCTGATCTGCTAGAAATCAGCTACTGTGCTCTAATAAACAGTAGGAAACAGTGGTTTGGATCTGTGCTTAACATTATGTTTTATAATACAAACACAATTTGCTATTCTAAACACTTATATTGACAAGAGTACTGACCCCCTTACACGGTAAAAGAACATTCATTAAGTCAAATAAAACAGTTTGAACAATATGTTCACATTCCAATAGAGATGACATTTAAGATAATTTTTACACAAGATGAGAACAAACCTCATGGTGTTTATTTGCTGTATGCAGCATCAGTGCATTTTTCTCAGCAACAGCTTTAGTTCTTGAACACTTTAAAATGTTTAGCCAAAAAACATAAATACATCATAACAGTTTTGCTGCTGTGCATAACTCCCTCATCAGACTCAATATAGTATTTTTGTATAAGAACTTTCACATTACACACTGCTCTCCTGGAAAGAAACACCAGAGGCACTGAAGATTAAATTACCTTTCTGATTACTTCAATTTAATCTGATCAATTTCTGAGACTAGAACTTAAGTAACAGATAAAAATTATGTTCCATGACTAAAAAGTTTTAAAACTATTTTTATAGTAGCTCTGAAATTTCCTCTTTACCACCAAGTCTTCTCTATAGCATTCAACTGACTCATTACAAAACAAGATGGCAAAAAATTATTTTCCTAATATTTAACCCCAGGGCAGTTTCAAATTCCCATGTACATCATCTTCCTCCATACAAATCCTAACAAATAGCATGACAGCTCACACAGCAACACATTTCAACTGCTCATTAACAGACTGTTCTTTTAAAAAAAATGTATCTCAAAAATATTATTCTGTGTAACATCTAACATTACACACTTCAACTAAGCCTGTCCTAGCAAATAATTAATGTTACTATTCAGGACAAATTGGAGAACTGACTCTTAGAAAAGTCAAAAAATATCAGCCAATGTATCTGGATCAAGTTGAATAAGAAGAATGCTGCAGATACTTTTCTTAGTCTTTATAAGATTTTCAACTACAAGGATGATTATTAGCAATCTGAATCATCATGGAATTTTACCTGTCTTTCGCACAGGGACTGATATGCTTAATTGGATAGTTATTACTAATTTCTAGTACTAACCTCTTGAAAATAATATGCCATTTTCAATGTACACAGTTCTTAAGTGATGACAATGCTTGCAGATTAACAAGAAGAAACTAAATCCCTTGCCAATCTGATGAACAATTCTAACAGGCAATTATAGTATAAGTTTCTTCACTGGCATTCCCTAACCTTGTAGACATTCCTAAAGGTGGAGAGCATTCAACATGTGTACTCATTAAAAATCTGTGACTGCCAATTATGACAGAGGTATTTTTTGAATCCTTATAAGAACTTACTCAATACACGATTTTGGTTTCGTAAATTACATTTCCTTAAACATAATTAACATTCCACACAAATACATTAAAAGTGACTACTCAGCAGTCTGCTGTCATTTCTACACATTATTAAACCTTAGCAATAAAACAGATCAGGACTGCCCCTTTTTGTAACACTTGTTTATCTGATATTGCCTTATTCAGCTGTAAATCAACATATGTTTTCTTCTAGCAATTGCAGAGAAAGGGCATGAAACCTCAGAAAATAAGCATCCATCAGTGTTTATTGTTGGGGGTTGAAATACTAGTTGGTATTTCTGGCTTTTGTAACTACCTGTTACAAGTTCTAGATTTAATCAGCAGAGTCCACAGTACAAAAAGATGTTAATGGGAAACTGTGAAGTATATGATTTCAGCTCTACTTGAAAATTAAGTAATAAATCTATTTTTTATCGTAAGAGAAAAGGCAGTGTTATTATTTTGCAACTTCTGGCTTCATTTGTAATGCAAGAGATTTGGATTTTTCTACTATTAAGAATGTGATCTAATTACTTAACAGCTGGGATCTTGAGCACAATTCTTCTTAGTATTTACCTAACTGGCTTAGTCACTCAGATTTAACTCTGTCTCAGTTCGATAGATGGGGGGGTTTCTCCTCCCATGGCCAAAAGACAGTTTGAAGAAGGAGGGCAGGTTCTATGACCAGTATGGATCAGATTAATACAGCAGGAAGCTGTTCAATTAGGAGTACAAAGAAATAACTATCTCTGGCTAGAAAAGCTATCTGATTTCATTAAAAATCTTGATGCTGAAGAAGGAGATAAAGGAGCACACGTTCATATTCTTGCAAAATTCAAAGACAGAAGAAACACAATAGCTTTACAGCTAAAAAAAATATAAATCAGTGGTTAGGAGGGAGAAACGAGGCAGTATCCGTATGTTCTGATGTTCAGAAAACTGAGACACTCTCTTGAAAAATAAAGCCTCCTAAAATCAGTCATATTGAACGATTACTTACAAAAGTTTCCACAGAAGTCTCCTACACTCCTTTAAAACACAGGTGTTCTGCCACGGCTTACCTTAATAAGAAAGGAACAGCCTGCAAGGATGTTCAACAGTTTCTGTCAATGCACTATTTCCCGGGAAAAAAACTATTTTAAAGGCAGTGGTCTCAAGATATTTTCCAGTGAAAGAGGACTGGAGATTATGCAAAATTTGTCAGTGTTCCATTTCACATTATTTTTTGGATTCTTTTGATAGATTAACAGCTGCTAAACTACATTGCTTTCCTAAATTGTCACTTATCTCAACAATATTTTTATCTTTGTCATCCCATGCTGAGTCAGAGAAACAGTGGTAGAAAGACTCTTCATTGCATGTCATGAGTCTTAAAACCATTTTAAGGAAATACTTTTCTGAAAATGAAATTTGTAGGAGGGCAATAAATAAATTCCTTACTGCCACTTACCTCGTTGTTCTATGAAAGCAAAAAGCCCCTCTAATGTGGATTTCTGTAAGATAATTTGATTGCCACTCACTGATGCAAAAAACCAGCAACTCAGGTGCAGAAAACCAGCTCTATATTCCACTATCCACCACACCCACCCAAAAAGGATACTGGCACACTAAAAATGCACATGTCTACATCTTTATACAACTTACATGCAACGTAATATCTAGAACTGGAATCTAGGACCTATAATTTTGTTCTTCAAGATGGTTTAGCAAGTGATTTTTCTGTACCTCTATTTTAACAGGAAATTTTCAGCAGAGGAAAGCTGATTAAACAGACAGCAAAACAGGAAGATTTTCTGGCTTAGACATATAGTTTCAATAAACATCTGAATTTATTCATCAGTAAACATCTACATTAATTTTTCTCCTCAAAGGGGTTTTACAAGCTGATGCGTCCCTGTCTGGAGGATGAGGGAACAAGAGGAGGACAGATGAAAAAAGACTTTCTTTTTTTCAGTGGGGTGGGTGCAATTCTGCAGTCTCACAAAACAGTAGTCCCCCATTCCTCCAACACATTAATGGCACTGTAAAGATATTAGCCATATGAAATAGTATACTTGTGCCAAACCAGGATTACCTGTACTCCCCCAGTAAAAGAGGAATTACACTACATGCTGCTGTTTGTCCCCTGCTGAATACCTATAACCAGCTAAAAATATAAACAGCCTTGAAATGCCAGTAAAATGATAAAATGCAAGTGCCCAAACATGCAAGTGACTATTTTCTACCACACAAGATAACAAATCCAAAATAAAACATAACCTTCCAAAATGCACAGACAAGCTTCTTAACGCCACTAGCATTAATGTAGGAGAAAAGCAAGTATACCTGTACGTATTTTACACAGGTCATGTGACACTCCTGTGTACAGACACTCCTCCTTCCCCCCCCCATCAGTGATTTTCCCCATGCAAACCCCAATACAGCACTCTCTGCATCCTCATGAGAACCAATGCAGACACCAGCTTTCCTTGGGGAGGTTCTTCACAAAACAGCCTGCCCTCACTAAGTCGTATGGCTAAGAAGCTTAGAAGACTTCAGATCAGGCTTTTATTTAAAAAAAAAAACAAAACAAAACATAAAGATATTGTAACAAACAATCCAAACTAATCTTCCCGTTCTGCACCAGGAAAGGACCTCAGCATGTTGTGCTCCCCGGGTGGCACAGAGAGCCAGGGCAATGCCTGTGCAGGGGACTCGACTGCCTGCAGCTCCACAGGGTGGAGACTCACCCAAGCTGACATTGTCTGGATACCACAGACTACATCCCTCGCGCATCCCCGGCTTACTTCCCAGCCTCTTCCGAGGCATGCCTTACACGGGGAAGAGCCAGGGAGTGGGGAAACCACGCACACGCACGCAAAACCTCCACCAGTCATCAGCACTGCAAACACGATTTTGAAAAAATCACCCGATGATGTGCGGGTCGTGCGAGGGGCGCAAGACGCAGACCACGAGCCGTTAAATCCTCGCCCCTCTCACACTCCTTCGCTTAAGTCCTCCCCGCCCAGCCCCCCATAGCAACGGTCCCTCAGCGGCCCCCGCCCCACCGCCCGGCTGAGGGAAGCGGCAGGAAACGCCGCTCCCTGCCCACCCGGCATAGCCCCACAGACGCCCACCGGCTCTCCCACACGACAAGCGGCTCCACCACTCACCTCGCCCCGGCTCCCGAGAAGCCCCGGCGGGCAACGGCGGCCCCCGACAAAACAGAGGGGCGAGGCGGCGGGCACGCTCCCGCTCGCTGCCGGCGGCGGCACCCGGACTCCGCTCCACCCGCAGACCCCCGCGGCTGCGGCTGCTGCTGCTGCTCCTCCTTCTCCCGCCGCTAATGGTGGCCGCCGATACCGGTTCCCACTGCCGCTCCCTTCCTTTCCCGTTTCTCGTTTCCGCCGAGCGCGGAACCGGCTCCGCCCGGGCGCCAGAGCACGTCCCTACCCGGCAGCACAGTCTTCACCCCGCTCCACGCCGCTACCACCCCAACACCCGCCGCCGCTGCTCCAAGCTCCCCCCCCCGCCGCTCACTTCCGGCGCGCAGGCCGCACCTCGCCCCGCCCCACCGGGCCCACCGCCAGCGCCCGTGGGGCAGCCCGGACCCCGCAGCGCCGGGGTAGCCGTTGGGGCGGTTAGGCGCGCGAGCGGCGGTTGGCGCGCCGGGGTAGCCGTTGGGGCGATTAGGCGCGCGAGCGGCGGTTGGCGCGCAGGGAGCCCTGAGGAGAGCTGCTGCTGCTGCTGCCGCCCCGGGGCCGCTGGCGCTCGCCCAGGCGGTCGCATTGCCAGGGCGTGGGGAGCGGGTCCGCCCGGACCTGGTGGCGGCAGGCGCCGGCCGTGCCTCCGCCAGCCTGCTGCACGGAGCGTACGGTGCGGTCCGGGCACCGGCGGACGTTATCCGTCCCGTCACCGGGGGTTTCTGTCTGCCGCAGGTTGGCAAATGCTGCGGAAACCCCCAGTTTCATGTCCCACCGAGCCGGCAGTGGCTGCCCCTGGCACGCTCTCCGCCGTTGGGAGTTACCCCTAATTCTGATGTACCGCAGCTCCAGGGCCGAGATCACCTTTTTTAACTTATTTACAGAACGGGGTAGAACCGTGGGTGCTACTGCGAATAATGGTGTACGAGAGGAGATTCCCTTAAATAGAGGGTTTTTTTGCGTGGACTGCTGGGGGAGATGCCGGCACAGGAGAGGTGGCATTAACGCTGCCTTCGGCTAGGAAGGTACTTCTGCTGTTCCCTAGAGCTGCTGCCATACCATACCAGAACATAGGCATGGTTTGCATCGGGTTTTGTCTGTAAGTGGTTTAACCACTTAAGTCAGCTAAAGCACAATATTTTCTATAACTGAGAACACTTAACGCAAAAGCACACAGGTTATTAGCTAGGTCAAAAGCAACATAAAGAGGCAGCCTTTAAAAGCACAAGCTAGTACACGGACAAAATGATTTTCATGTGTACATACAATTAAGTCTTTTTGAAAGATGAAAGTTCACACCTGCAATTCTAATGAATTTAGCAAGAAATCTTTGCTATATAACTTAGTCTTAGCATGAAATCACTTCCAGATTCTGGACAGCACAATAAAATGCTGAGATTTAGCCATATCCCTGCCGCTCTGAGGTCAAATGGATGCAGAAATATCAGGTGGTTTCAAGTGCAACTTTGAATTCCTTTTATAAATTATCAGTGTGGAGTAAAAATACATGTGTTTATCATCAAGAGAGTACAATGGCTGCCTGGAGTTGCAAATACAATAACTTGAATCCAACCATTCAAAATCCTAGGTCACTGCTGCTACACTGTTTCATAGTCTGTGGAAACATTCCACAATTAATAAATGTCTGGGCTCACGTTATTTAATAAAAGTGATAAGTACTGCAATTTCCAGTGCTGTTCTGCACTTGCTGAACATCAGCAGTGAGAGTAAGCTGGCAGTGACTATGAATCTGACGTTATCAGAAGGTTTAGATTGCATCTCCAGGTTATATTAATCCCACCATACTTCCATGGTGATCTCCGTGACCCTGAAGGGATTAGAATGACAACACCTCCCACAGAAAGCAAGCTCAAGATTCAGGGTATAAGCACAGTGCATGCATGAGCAGTACAAGGAGCAACTTGGGTGTGCCATCCCAGGTTCATTCTGTAGCTCTGTGCAGCTCCAGCTGTTTCTAACCGAGCACAGAAGCACTACCAAGTCACGTTCAACACCACAGCTCAGGAGCTGCATGGCCACAGAGCGCGCAAAGCTTCATACACTCAACTGTGAAATTGTATCAAAAGGAAAGAGGGATTGCAGCTGACTAATGAAAACTCTGTTTTTTTGCATGTGGATTTGTTACTTCTTTATATTAATCCTGCTAAATTGCCCTGAGCCTGAGCAGACAACAGGCAACACAGTTAATTTAATGCAGGGTAGAGATCAGAGCAAGACCATTTTAAGCATGAGGACCAGATTGGATCTATGTGCATCCTGCAGAACCACTATACAGTTACAGATGTCAGTTAGTAATGTAAAATCATCCCCCAGGCCAGGGAAAGAGTACATACCTGCAGTACATGCTGCGTAGGGTTTTCAAGGTAGACAGAAGATTTAGTCATAACCTCTGCCAATAAAATTAACAGCTAATGAAATAATAAAAATAGGTAAGCCTTTTGAGTAGGTTAAAAGGTCAGTTTAAATGTATATCTGCTTCCAAATAAGTAAGGATAATATGGATTGTTGTTTTTAATTAGGGCAGTCATTCCAGGGCTATCAACTCTTCTTTCTCCCTAAATGTTGTCTAGCAATCTCAATTTTAAGTACAGCTAAGCAATGTTAGCAGCTGAACTTAACTTTGAATCCTTCAAAGGTTTTATTTACTGTATTTAAATAATTATGAATAAGAAAACATAAATAAGGATTACATAGGCTTTTGGATCATTAGGCAGTTGGGGGAATTTCCATAAAGGACACACGAGGCAAAGGCTGGGAATATAAGAGTTCAAAATTAAAACCCACCAACTCCCATCTTGATTGCTTTGTTGGACCCCAGAAAGCTCAGTGACTTGTGCAGTAGGCATTTCACATTTTGGTGAAGACCAGCTGGGTCTGATCCAAACTCTATCAATGAAAACTATATACATCTGTGCATAAGTAGGTGCATCTGTATATGCATGCAGCATATCCCATCATGGAACTTTGAGCGCCTGTGACCCCTACCAGCTCTAATGAGCAGAAGAGCAGTCTGACTGTTTCCACATGCTTCTTTATCATTTTTTTCCCTCCAACTACAGTGTTCAAGGTACAAAATCATTAAAAAGCCTTTCCTGTGCGTCAATAACTTGCTCAACCTACACTGTATCTATTGCTGCTCAGCTAGCTATAATGGCAATTCCAAATGGGAGTTATGACAAAGTATTGCAGTATTTCTTAGCAACAGGTATAGCACCCATATCCATTAACATAAATAATTCAGTTCGTCTATCCTACACGTTAAAAATGTTTTTTCTTGGATTTTATCCACTGTTCAGGGTAAACAAGAGTATCTTGAAGAGGATCTGACCTTAAAGCAACAGGTATAATGACAACAGTATCCCATAATAAGAGTGCAGACTTGAACAGGAACTTCAGGGCTTTCAAGCCAGTCAGCATGATGCATATTCCACTACAAAACCACTCATCTTCTAGGTTAAGGCTGCTAAGCTTTCTCAGGGCTACTGTTCTTCTTAAGAAAAGGTGCTGCTATTTGCATGCACCTTTCAAACCAGTTCAAACACAGGAGCACCAGCATGGAATGGAAACAGCATTTTCTGAACTCATTTCATCAATGTAAATCAGGAAATCTTGACTAATTCCAGCTACAGTACTCCTGATTTACAGTGGGATGACAGCTCTGAATCCAAAGCACAGAATGGCTGTGAATGAAAATATGACCATTCTCTTCTTTATGCACTTTCTCTTCATTATGCCTCTAAGAGCTAGAGAAGTACTGTCTTATCATTTCTTAGGTGATGATTTAAAGCAGAGAGAGTAAGCTACCTCCCTACAGTTAGAAGGGAAGTCTCATTCATAGCCAAGGTCTGGATTCTGCTCTCATCAGTGCCAAACTAGTCCCTGGCTTGGGAAATTGCTCTTCATCACAAGTTTATTGACTGATACTCTTTTTATGGAAGTGCCAACCTTACCATAATACAGGCTAACAACTAATCTACCTATAGCATTCATTATTACTTCTTTCAATGAAAGTTCAAACCATCACCTTACACATCTCAATAAATCATCAGAGCTAATACACAGCAAGAAAACATTTCTTCTTGACCCTCAAAGCAATCAGCTTATGCTGCTGAAGCAGGAAGCTTGTTTGTCCCCTGCATTGTTGTAATCTAATGCATGCAGCTGCAAATGTCTTTGCTTGCAAAGCTTCCTAAATCCCTTTTTTAATTCTACTAAACTCTTTGCCTTGATGACTGTCTATGACAATTGGATTCCATAGATAAAAAAATATACTGCATGAAATAGTACTGAAAGCATGTTCTGGAAGGTTTTGCTCTGTGAATTGGGGCACAGAGGCTACAATTAACTGACTTCACTAACTACTTGATGAAGTTTCAAATTATGGGAAGTTCCGCTTTCCACCATGATTTATATTACCCTCCATTACTCTTTATTCTGCACAGCTGACTTTCTGGTTCCTTTTTAGGTCCTCTGAGGCAAATCATGGCCCTCATGAATGTATCAGAGCACCTGTGCAGCCATGCACATGTAAATAGGGAAGCAACAGCACACACAGATATTAGGATCTTCCAACTTACAGGGCACCACAGGGACTCTCTGGACTTTCCTCTCAGGCTGAGGTCAGTAATTGATTTTAATGGGAGCAGGGCTGAGCTAATGCTGCCACTTTGGAAAATCCTACCCAAGGGATTCAGAGATATCGAAAGTGCTTGAGGCAGGTTAACTGTGGGGCATTTCTGGTAATGGGGAATGGCGCAATTGTCTTTATTAATTTTCCTTCTCCAAAGTGCAATTAGAATGTATGTATTTTTAAATCTTTAGGAACAAAATAATTTAAAATGCTTCTGTTTCTAGAGATTCTTACTGAGAGGCAGATGAGTAGCTTTCCGAAGTGCAGTTATAGGCTTTAAGATCTGTCACACCCCCAAGATCTGTGAATACTCTCTTAGCTGCATTTGTTTTTCTTTCTTCTGACTTACTATGATTACAAGAGAAAATAATGCAGTTGTATGTTTCAATCACAGTAGCCCCATTGGCCATTCATAAAACAAAGTTAATCATCATCTTGGAGACTGGAGGAGCCAATGCTTTTCACTCTGATTGTACCTTTAAAACCAAGGAAAAAAAAAAGTGATTAATATGACTTGGAAAGGACCATTAGCGCAAGGGAAAAAAAGGGTGAAATGAACTGGAATGGAGGTGCCAACAAGCAAGGGGGACAATGTAAACAAATGTTAATGTAGAGGACACTCCCTCTGTCATGGTCAGTTTTTTGAGAA